GACGAAAAACACCCTCAGTGGTAGACGAATCATGGGTTACAGTCCCCTTGCCATCAGGCTAACCATGGGAAGTTTACGTCTTTTTCCTCTCCATGTAACACAAATGCGGGTGAGTTCCATCAAAAAGTCCTCCATGAAGGTACATTTCTCACAATAATTGATCCAGGAGTTCTCTTGTCTTTTAGATTGGGTTCAAAATTACAAGACTACGGAGGTGAAAATTTGTAGTCGTAAACCCAAAACTTGGGTTTGCTGTTCAACGAAGGCTATAAAATAAAATAAAATATGCATTCCTTGTGAACCTTAATTTTTAAGCCCCTGTAAGTCTCTAAGTTTACGAGGGTCGTAATATTTATATATATTGACTATGTATTTATTCGCGACTCTAAAAATATTTCAGTAGGAGAAAAAGCATTTTTTTCTTTATTCCTTATATATTAAGTTTTATTTCAACAACTTGGAGAAAACATGGTTCTTGCATACTCCCAGAAAATAATAAATTTCTCTCTAAAATATACCTATATACCCAGTTTCATCCGACCGCTTTGAAAAAAACCTGGTTTTAGCATACTTCCATAAAAAATTAAGTTTTCTCTCTCAAATATACTTATATACCCAGTTTTATCTGACCAGTTAGGAAAAAACTTAGTTTTAGTCTACTTCCAGAAAATATGTTTTTTATTACGTTAAATAATTTTCACTTTTTTTTTCAACTAACGTTAGTTTATCACTCAAATAAAAATTTAAATAATTTTGTTCGCAAAGTTGCTTATCAAAGCGAAAAGAAGAAAATAAAAAGAAATGAATAAGAAAAGATAAAAAAAAAGAATCATAAAGGACCCGATTTAATCGTGATTTCTCTTAAAAAGTTATCTAAAAATTCCATTTATTTTCTAACAACCAAAAATGTAGTTCGTCAAATGAAAGTAACTATTTGAAAATAAAAGATTTGATGAGAACATGTTCTCTCAACATTGTCGATTCGTGTTCTGTAATTAATATTTCATTGGATATCTTGTTTGACATGGCAAGTCAAGATGTCATTAACTGCTATAGCACTTCATTACTTTTCTAATAGATTTTACTTTCTTTAAAAGAAAACTTTTCTCCTTAAACGAATATTTTTAGGAAGATATGAGCATGAAAAAATTTTGTAGAAAAAAGAAAGTCTACCGAATGACCTTTCCTAAATTTTTATTCAATGATCGATTTCAAATCTTCCACAATCCAGTCTTTACATTTATAAATATTAGTCTTTTTTATTCATATTAAATGTAAAATTCAAGATTGCAAAGCAAAACATCATTACAATTTCAAAAGCCAAAATTACGCGAAGTAAAATATTATTAGAATTGAATTTCAAATTGCTGATTGGTTAACTAATTGAAAATCGTTTGAGTTATTTAAAATCGTTTGACTTATAAAAGCAAATTTTTTTAAATCAATTGACAAAGTGAAGGTACAACCCCATGCAGGTATACAAAGTTGATAGGCTTTGTGGGATTATTTTTCTATTGGTATCAAAATTTTATATTTTAATGTATGATTCTTTGCTTAGTAAATTTGATTTAGAGTTATTTTCATTTTTCTCACCACTACATGTGAATGCTACAGCAGGGTTTCATATGAACTACAGCTCAGCTAGCAGTTCATATGAAACCCTACTTTGTTCTATTACTATTATAGCAAAGCTGCCAACCATTACGCATTGTCCGTAATATAATCTGATCAGACCACTATGAAGGTATACCAGCTTACGAAAGAGTCATTTAACAGAAAATCTATTAAATGTTAGAGAGCGGTAGCAAATATATGTCTAAAAATTTGTTTTGTGTATGAATATGATTAGTTAGTCTTATTTACTTGTCAATCACTACAGATCCAATTTTCAAATAAATATGATAAATTTCTCTCAAGTACTTTTAAAATGGAACTTGGATTCATGCGCACAACTGGTTCACTTTTTAAATAGCTTGATCAAACTACTTATAAAAAACCGTGTGGAGGCTTTCTAATTTAGGAGGTGATGCCCAGTCCCGAAATTTACAGATAGCCAAATATATGCAGGGATATCAAGGATGATTAAAAATGGAAAAAGTGGTGGACCGATTAAAAAAAAACAAAAATGTATTAAAAAGGATTAAAATTAACAATTTTTTCTGCCATATTTCTTTCAGTTAACTCGCGAAGGTGTTTGTTAAAAATATTTTTGCTTTAAATAAGAATAATTTACACTAAGTCATGAAGGTAGTTACGATTGAATTATTAAATAAGTAAAAATAATGAGATCTAACATTTTTAGTCCCCTGTAGCATATTTGTATATGCATCAAATAGGTATTTTATGTGTTTAGCAACGGGTTAGCCTTAGTAACAGTTCTTTTTTTTTTTGAGCATGTCCCATTTTCAAAACGTTAAAGACCTATAACTCAATTATTTTATTGTTAACGTTTATCTCAAAAAAGCAAGATATTCAACAAAAATCCAATGTTCCTAACATTTTGTGACATGTTTAATTCTATAAGTTTTTCATTCGCAAAATGATGTTTGAGAACGACGCCTTCACGTGATTGTATTGGCAGGATTGCAACTCGTGACAGATAAAACACTCAAATTTACTAAATGGCCCTTGCATGTGACACGCATTATCTCCTAAATACTAAAAAGAAAAATTAAAAAACTGATTTGAAGACGATTAATTCTTATGTATAAAAAATATAAAACGCTCCTAATATAAACGACTATGGTCAAGTTTCGCTCAGTATTTCATTCCTACGGATTTCGTAGCTTCAGACAGTATTTTCTTAGTAGTAAAGCTAATGTATTAATATTTTATTTCTACCTATAAATAATTTACACTGTTGACTACTACATTTTACTACTGCTACATTTTACTACTACTGCATTTTACTACTACTACATATTTACTACTAAAATTTACATTAATGTTTATAAACATTTTGAACAGAAATATCAAATTCATAAGTTCTAATAAAAGTTTTTGAAAAATTCTGTTCCTTTTAAAAAAATTCTGCTTTTGTTAACGACTATTATTAAAAACACATTGTAAAATCCTTAGATTTAGGAGAGCATGTATAATACATTCCCACTTCTGATTTCTTTAACGGAAGGATTTTTCTTGGATATGCAGGTGCAAGTATTGCTATTTTAAGAAGGTATATTATCTCATCAGTTATTGAAGTTGAATACTTAAACACTTTCGCTGCCGATCTTGCATTAAAATAGACGAAATTTTTCCTAATAGTTTGTGTAGATAAAACAAGTCAAATAGTAACAAGATGCAAATTATCATCCAACTATTTTTGCAAAAAAATATTTTCTTCCGACAATAACATATTGTTTATTGAAATAAACATATTTTGAATCTTAAATACTAAAATAATTGCCAAAAAAAGAAAATTTAACTTTGATTTTATCTTTATAGATTGCCCCTTTTCAGAGAAAGATAAAGAATATCTACTTGTACTCAGTCACTGTGAATTTTCAAAACTAAAATTGTTGCTAAAATAAGAAAATTTAGCTTTGGTTTTATCTGTATAGATTACTACTTTTCATTTATGGATATGGCACATTCACTTGTACTCAGTTGGCAGTAAACGTGTTATGCTAGATAAAATGAAAAAAAAAGCTGATAAAACAAAAACGTAATTGTAGCAATTTTTCGTAAAAAAATAATTAATTCTTATACTAATTTACTTCGTTTCTGTTATTTCATTCTTGTAATGTGCGAAATTAAGAGTAAAATTTTTTTTTAAAAATGTACATGCTAATTTATTACGAAATAAATGAACACTTCGAAATTTGCAGAAAGGAAGGAAATTTTCACAAAATGCCTATGAAGGTAAAAGGGGGACTTTCTTTTAGCAATTTTTGTCAAGAAGACTTTTCATTGGGACGGTTTCTTTTTTCCAAAACAGAAAAAAAAGGGATTGTACCATACGAGGTTCATTACTAGTATTTATTTTGCAAAATAAGATAATTCCACCCACCACAGAATATTATTAATGTAAGTATTTTTAATTAGATCAAAAGCCAATGCATAGTGCTTTTTAAAGTCTTAATTAGAGAGTAAAAGAGCAAAGCATCCTCTTGGTGTAAACAGATATGAACTATAGTTTGTCTATAAAAAGATCTCCCCTTGCCACAAAGTCTGAAACCGTCTGCTGCTATGAAATAAGAAATAGCACATTTCAAGGAGGAAAGCTTCTTTCTCCCTATAGGCCTGTTGCCAACCCAAGCCAAAACCTGCTTTAAATAATAGCCCAATAATAATGACTTGAATTAGTTAAACCTCGTAACTAGAGCCCCCACTATTGCTCCAGATACATAGTTAGGGGAGTTCTTTACATATACAAACCATACTATTTTTCATATTAATGCTTTAATATAGACTACTTTTTGGCGTCATTCATTGACGGGTAAAACTGTGCTTAACCCACTGACGGTTCTGCACGTAAAATGACGTATTTTAATCTGCAGACTTCTCTGCATAATAAAAAAGGTTTTTTCATGTTATTAGGTAGAAAAATAGTATGTATAGAGAGAAAACATTTTCCTAATTTTCCCTTCTTGCTAAACCACCAGTGGATTAAAGATGTACTCCATTTAAGAACCATTTTTTATGGTCACCTCAATTTCATTAAATAAAGATCCAACTTCATACATGTTTTTTTGTAGTAAGTTCTTTTTACACTCAATTTTACCATTTATAACCGAGAAAAAAAAAGTGATAATCATACATCTAAAAAGAGATAGAATTGAAATATTCCTTTTAAGCTTTTTAAGATAAGTGGTAGACCTGTGGCAGCAAGCAGCTCCAGGTGCCCAGTTGAAAGGTTGGTTTACAAGTTGAAAACATTAAGGAATTTTTCGATTCACTTATATTCGCCAGTTTGTAAAAGTTTGCCAGTTTCCAAATACGTTTTCAAATCTAACAAGCTCTAAACAAATTGTATAAAGAAACCCTTCAAAACTAAATACCTGAAATTCCGTCGTAAGTCCACCATTCTTCCCAGCTTCCGGCTGCACCTATGAATAATTCAGAAATTTTGCATTAGAAAAATAATATACACTTAACTATTCTTATGTGTTACTATATATATATATATATATATAT